CCGAACGGGAGCTAGAAAGCAAAAATAGAAAGCAAAGAGCTAAAAAGCAAAAATATTTGACAAAATTGGGATTTAAATAGAATACCCAACGGCGGGTTCCAGCAGATTTGTAATGCCCGTAATGTTTCGGTACCGCTGTGTTATATGGGACAGCCGTTAGCGAACGCCGTTATCCATTTATTTTGTAACATTTTTATTCAATTTTCTTTTCGATGCAATAGCCTTGGTAATTGATACACTCGACAGCACTGTGGAACATTAGATTAGTAATGTAACGCATTTATACCTAAACACGTCAAAAAAAGGAGTGACAGATTTCAGAAGGCATTGTCCAAACTGGGAAATCCAGAATAGGGCAATATGTAGTTTGTGGCTTAGATAAAAGTCATCTCCGGCCATGGGGTACGCAAAGCCATAATGCCTGGTTCACACCGAGACGAGCGTTACTGCCGCTCTCAGAATCCCATTGGCAGTACTAGACCGGGGGACACTGCACACTTCGATGAGCTAAACGCCAACGGCGCGGTCTATCTGAGGCCCACCGCGACACCTCACACCGACGGGCTACCCATCTGCACGGAACCACGAGACGAGAGGACGTCACACAATGAGCCGTCTCCGTCACTAGATCCCGCTGTGTGGCGGCCATCTGCCGGCGTCCACACCGACCTGCTCATAGTCCAGCCCGATCACTTCAGCACTAACATCTGCAACGGCAACACCAACACCAGTATCCGCACCAACAGCGAAACCGACACCAGCACCACCGGGGGGCAGTCTGCGCCCGTGCACGATCCGCTGGTGCTTGTTGCGCGCGCTGGTGGTGCCGAAGCGTTTGTTGCAGAGGTTGCAGTCGGTCAGACCGCGGTGCAGCGGCATGTGGTTGCTGAGGGCCTCGCGGCTGCCGTAGCGCTTGTGGCAGACGAGGCAGGTGAACCGGCGTCCCTCGCCGGCGGCTGTGCGGGACGGATGTGTCAGGAGCCGGCCAAGAGCGAATAGAGACAGTGGTAGGCAAAGGGGAGAAAATATCGACCGGGAGAGAGATAAAAATGCGGCTGTGGAGAGCTGGCGCCAGTTGATGGCTCAGCGAAAAGGCGACATTCCGTGGCAAAAATAAGTAAGAGCGACCACCTTCCTCCGAAAAATGGCACGAGCTGATATTGTGCAACGAATCAAAAGTAATAGACACAAAATTATACGATTGATGCCGCCCTACCGCCCAGAGTATTTCGGTCAGAAACGACCAACAGCGCCAGTGAGAACAGCAGACAAAAGCACGTTGAGCAGTACAAACATAATCAAGAATACGTACCTTATCGAGAACTTTCTTCGCCGCACCGGTATCCGAAAGCGCGGAAAAAATATTCAAACAAGAACGTAGCCCAACATAAGTGTGTCTTCTTACTCGAAAAAAAACAACTAAAATAAGCCGTTTTGCAAATTCATCCACTCCCGTTATGAGCAATTGTCTTCTTTCGTCATGAGAAAATATATCAACATCAGACTAAATGTTCATTGTTCATAGTAGGTATAATTATATCTTAATCTTTCACCATCAGTTTCATGCATTCGTAATTGATTTTGTTTGATGTCATATAGCCAGTTGATAGTTGAGGCCATGTGACCGCTTGTTTCATCATTCGTTAATCTCGTACCATTCCTTCATAACATAACTTTTGATCATCGCTCACGCATCGCTGCGGCAACTCACGAGCCTGTTTCGGAGAGCACCTCTACCCTCGGTCCGCCCCGACCACGTTCCATATTGCCTTTTCAAGCTTCAGCTATTTAGTTTGATTTCCGCGGTTGTTCGATATTGCTCGGGTTTCATATTCGGAGTCGTATTATTCGGAGTTGGCTATCGCATCGGTTTGGTCGCCAGAAAGACATATCGGTTCCTACCTATCCCCACCTTAGTGTGCATCGTTTGGTCATCGATCGAAGGGTTGACACTGACGCTGTGATTCTGTTTGTCGTGTTTTCAGCTTCTCAATAAGGCCGCGCACTGCAGTTTTCATGTGGATAGATATGTGATATGCGATCTGCGAGTTTTGTTCATGTTCGTTTAGACTTGATGAGGGTCTCCTTGTATGCATTTAATTTCAAAGGATGGTTTCCTGGGACTGGCGTTTCACTGTTGTCAGATTCGAAATCCAACGAAAACAAATTAGCTTACAATTACGAGTTTGTAAATAAAAAGTGGTTGCAGATTTTCTGTCGCACCAGAAAACCCACAAATGTTATGGTCCCCGAAAACATAAGATAGTGGAATGAGTCGACAGCATGCATAACAGTGATAAGCATCTTTCTTTAACATCCTAAGAATCGTTATTTGGAAAAATGGTTTGATCATCGGAAACGTAAATTATGCAAGATAATTTGATAAATCACCGAAAGCACTTATCACCTCATTTACTAAACAATTTTCGGTTGTATAATTTTTTTCTCTCGAAAAGTTGACTGACTGAGGAGCATCTCACACACAGAATTACACCAAATTCCACACCGTTATCCTCTCCTCTCGAGTCTGACAGTGGTGAATCGCCAGTCCCAGGAGCGCGCTGCGAACCTCACCTGAGAGCAGCAGAGGGCCGGCAGGGCCGCACGGACCGCGCCGGCGGCAGCGGCGCGTGGCGGAGAGACGAGATGACAGCAGGCGCCTCCTGGCGCGCGGGCGAGCTCGGTGGGCGGGCCGCCCATCGCTCGCTCCCCTCCCCCCCCCACGACCCCCCCCCCCTCGCTCACGGAACGCGACACAGGAGCGAGCCGCGCACACACCTACTGCCACAAACTGTCTCGGACTGTAGTCGCTTGTGTGGATTTACCAGTAATTTTGGTGTTTTACTTTATTAGAATTTTGTCGGTGCCCTAGCCTTAAATTTTGCCTTCCACCATCCTGCGCATTCAATATGCTTTGACATTTGTGAATTTTGCATGACAAATTTTGATGTTCATTTTACATTGTACCTACACAATTTTGCAGGGGATCCTAGCCTTAAATTTTGCCTACACAATTTTGATTTTAATGAGATACTTTTGATGTTGATAAGTTTTAAGGCACGCGACACTTGCAAATGACAATTGGCAAAATGCAAGAGAAGGCGAAACCGAGCGCTCATTGTCAGCAAGTATCAATAAGGTTTTCCGCAGATATTGCACGCAACATTTGCGGGAATCGCAATTGAGCATCGCAGCATACTGCAGTAGACAAACGTGGAATAAAACCACGCTCAAACAAACCAAAAGAGCTGAATGAAATTTGCATTTTAGAGGTCCTCGGCAAGTATGTTACCACGCGAAAACTTGGACTATCAATGTGCTGACATTGAACGCTCATTTAGGCATCTCTGACGGACAGGACTATACGTTGATACCGTTACGTTAAAGATAACGTTACCGTTACGTTAAACACTGAGAAAGTATGACCAGTCCGGAGCGATCTCAAACAAAGCAACACAGTACACACAGACACAACACATACACACACATAAAATAAAGGGATGGAGAGACACTGTCTGCTGGGACAAAACCTCTCACAAACACAACTACGAAAAATGAACTTTCTTCCTTCTTTTTGGACAAATATATGTGTTTACCAAAGCCAGTAGGCTAGATCGTTTTTTTTTTTTAATAAGTTGAGAAAAGACTCAACATAATATGGCCAGAAGAAGGCATTCATATTATCGTTTATGAGAGGCTTTATCTAGAGGGTCTCTAAACCTACCTAGTTCACTTACGAGAATTTGTTTCAATGGCGCACAAAGACTTTTTCATATAAATTTTGTCCGAACCTTTTGAATGGAAGAATTCAGGACAGATCCTCCGCTAAGCGAAGTTTGTTGCGTTGACCCTGCCCTCTACCCTTCGATAGCGCATTTCTCGTGCTATGGCAGAATTTGGAGTCCAAAGTTTATCGTATGCACATAGCCGCGTACGGCCGGTCCCCTCACTGACTTCGTCTGGCTACGGCCTGCCACCAACCGCGACCAACGATGTCAGGACAGGCTCATAAACGTCAAGCGCCCGTCGCACTTCGCGCCCGGACTGTTATAACCGGGAACGCGTGCTCTCACCACGCGGAGTCCAACGCTCTAACCAACTGAGCTACGGGACCGGCTATGACCGACTACTACTTATAATCCGGCCACAAAGTCCCTAATATTGTACTGTTTGTGAAGAGTATCTATAGAAATACGGTTAGCTGCAAATGGATTTTTACTGATTATCTTTTATCAGTTGGACAACTCGGCTTCTGAATGGAAAAGCGCAAGGTACGGAAACGGACAAAAAGCTTGCATTGTTCCCTAAACACGTAGCAAAGCAGAACCAATGAATTATCTTTCTGCTGGGACACATTGCCATTAGGAAGACTTTTGGTGATTGTAGACAATATTCCGTTTGTTGCTGTAGCGTGAAATCAAAACATGCAGGGTGCCTACCCATTTTCAGACAATTTTGATTTATGATGCAGGTGTCATCCTGCCGCTACCCTAAATTATTCCAGAAGTGATAAAGCTTTCAGCTCAACTATCACAAAGGGCATATCCTATCCTGTCGTTTCCAGCATATACATATCCAGGGGCATGTCCATATCCTATCCAGCATATCCTAAACTGAATGTCGCCTATACCATTTTCTCGACTTCTACTTCACTAACTCCAGATTGCTTTTGTGGTTTCACTGGATGCCAGCTAGTTTAGCTGGTATCAGGTCGCAAAAGGCTGTAGTATATTCCGGTGATTCACGCTGTCTAAAACGCCAATGACAGACAGGGAATGAGCGAAACCAGTGATAGCTGTTTATTACCGGCACATATCCTGCATTTATTCCTATCAGCATCCGGCATCCGACCTTGGAACGTCTTCAGCCTTTACCCGTTCAGTATCCCATGTAAATTTCAGCGCCTCATGGTTCGATATCGATAAAGGGCAGCCCTAACCAGAGACCCTCTCAGCAGACAGCGTGCCTCACACCCCTGGCCAGCCGGCAGTGGCACCCACCTGTCATAGAGCCTGCGCCGCCATCCGAGGAGGGTCCCGCTGCCGCCAGCATCTCGCTCACTGTAGAGAGATGCGGAGAGGTCAGAAAGAGAACAGGTCAAATATTGTTGGCACTTGAAGCTCCACAGCATGACATCAAAGCACAACCTACAAGAAATTTGAGTTAAATGCATTTCAACAAAAATTATAGAATGTCAGTGGTATTAAAAAAGAAAATATATTTTTTTTAAATCATAACAACCACTGCACAGCTCAAGTCCACTGCGCCCACATTAACAATTCATATCCGGCGCCATCACCGCCATCCGCTCACCTTGGCCGGGGTCGGGGACAGGCACGGCGCCGAGCGACTGGTTCGAGTCGTACCCCTCCTCATAATCCACCACCTGTCCAAGTGCCGCCATATCGTCCTCATCATCATCCGCAATGTCTATGTCGATCTTCTCCACCTTGACCTGGCCGCCGTGCGGGTAGCTCATCCTGAGCTGCTCTCCGGGCTCCTCGGCGGGCGGCGGGGCGGTGTCGGAGCCGGACGGGGTGGTGGGGGCCGGTGACGCCGCCGCCGAGGTCTCCAGACCGTCGTTACTGCCCGAGCCGGAGCCAGAGTGGACGCGGCGCCGCTTGGTGGCCGGTGAGACGGGCGGCGACTCGGGCGGCGGCGCCGCGGTCCGTGCCGCCGCCGCCGCGGAGCTGTTGATGGGCGGTGCCGGTGCCGGTGCCGGTGGCGGTGGGGGCGGTGGGGCGGCCGGCGCCATCGGTCGACGGACGGCCGCCGGCGGAGGACGGGACACCGGTGCCGGAGAGGGACGGGGGAACGTCCGCGGAGCCGCCGCCGGCGCGGGCCGCGGCTGGGCGCGAGGGGACGCCGGTACCGGCACAGACTCCCGTGGGAAGTAAATGATTAGATGTCAGCCAGCTGAGTGAAGACAACCAAATATCAAAACAATTGTAAAAGCGCATGCCATGCCAATTAGACTTTCAATATCCAACTTTGACATGGTATTTAGCACTTTGTGCAAAGAACTATGCAGGGAAGATATTCAAACTCAAAATAAAAATGAAATAAAAGACACAAATAATCATGTGTAAATAAAAAATAGCAGCACACACTTATAATGACTGACCTTATCCTCATCTCCAGTGAGCCCCCTGACTTGGAGCATCTCAGCAGTCTTGAGGAAGCTGCTGAGCTGGGTCTGGGTGACGTTCACCTCGCCATTGTACACAAACTCAATCACAGCCCGCAGGTCACTGAAGGTAGTGTCCTTCAGAAAGAACACTGGGTGCTGACAGGGATTTTCCTGAAAAAAAAAACAATAAAACTGTTAGGAAGGACACTGCTTTATGACTGCTTGGTCTATCATATCAATGCTAAAGTAGGACCTGGTCAAGAGTTAAGAGTAAATAAGACTAGAGATCAGAAATCAGGCAAGTGCTGAAATGTAAAAAGGTTTGAAGTTTTATGAAATATTTTGGAATAAGTTTAAAATAAATAACTCTATACACTAGATGGCATTTTTTAACTTTTAATCCTTAAAATGACATGACTCAGGCATATATAAAATATGCAAATTAAATACAGGTAATGTTCATCAATTGAAAAGGGGCAAAACTAATGCACCAGTCATAGGACCATTCATATTTCATTCCCCCTTCCACTAAACCAGTCGGGGAAACTATGGTAAAATCTGCTATTTTAGCAGTCTGCTATTTTTAGCAGAAATCTGCTAAAAATGGGTACGCATGTGACGTCATCGTACCCAAATATAGCAGATTTGGGTACGGCCCCATACATAAGCAGATCTGCACCCTAATTGAAGCAAATGCGCATCAAATGCCTGGCAGATTCATGATTAGAATAGTGCTGAGGATGTCCTCTGCTATTTTTGTTCAGATCCGACTTTTTTCAAATTCATTATTTGAAAATAGTCGGATCTGAACAAAAATAGCAGAGATCACTCTCAGCACTATTCTCATCATGAACCCATTGACCTCTATAGTAACCTAGACGGCCCACTGCCGCGCCGCGGCCGGCACGGAATCGTTCCCGCATGGGGGCGCAGTGGCGCCACCTGCAAGTGGTCAGAAGTTCCCGGCCCCTGTAGACGGTCTATGTTAAGTGGGGAACTTTTGAAGCGGATTTTTATGAAAGATACAGCCTGCCAATGGCTGAAAAGGATTGCTATGTAACTGAATATGCTTTCTTAAGGTGTGATGTGCTCGATTGCGAACAGGATGGCTCGAGCCGTGCAATAAAGCGCATTGTTTCAAATGACCCGGACGCTGGCGGTACAAAGCATACCGAAACGTGGATCGTGCCTACCTGCCGTAGGTAAGGCCATACGGGACGAAGAACGTACCCGCTTCCTACTCAGGTGGCAAAAGATGATCAATTAGCAAACGAAGGGGGAGGGGTCCGTTCGACCCCCGACCTATTCGGGCGAGGGTTAACCCTCGCCCGCATAGGTGGGGTCGAACGGACCCCATCTCAGTTTTCGCGAATAACTCTCGTAAAAAGCGGCCGATCGCAACGAAACTTTCAGTATCCTCGCGATAATCAATTATACACCTGCCCTGGAAGTTTCATGACCCTGACCCAAATGACCTTTGACCTGTGACCTACTTTTCAAGACCATGTTTGGCCGGAATCGCAATTCGACACATGGCTGGCATTAACCGCGCGTTAGCAGTATTTTCGTGATTTCAAGCGTTCAAACATGTGATATGATGTTGCTCCCGTGCATAAGGGTGGGTGTCAAGGTCACTTGAAGGTAAGGTCATGTCAGGTCATCGACCTTTGATGACCTCGGTTCGCTTTTTCGAGTTTTACATGTTTGTAGGCTTGTTTTTGGAGCTAACTTCGAATTTAGCAACCATTTGAACATTTACGAAAAAGTTTTGGTGCCTTCGTAGCATGTGACGAAGCTGTTAGAGGTGGTTGACACCTACTACGAATACCTACCCGGCAGGACCCCTACTGGTTGACCTGACCTGACCTGACCTGACCCAACCTGGCCTTATAAATGCATCAAGACATCATCTGTAGTCAAAACTAACATGATTTTCGTGATCAGCCCCCCCCCCCCCCGATAAACCCCATAGCAGCCACACTTTACGACGTTCTAACAGGTCCCGATTTTCCCGACTTTTGGGTCATTGACCTGACTTGGAAGGTAACCCAATGACCTAGGACCTTAAAATCAGGTATAATCGGCTGCCTCTCGTCTACTTGCAATTCCATCCCTGATAATATGCCAGTGCTTATATCGGGGGTCGGCAACCTTTTTGGGGTGCGGGCCAGATTTAAGCGATTTAGAAGCAGCCGGCGGGCAGGAGCATGGCATGGTTGCAATTTGCTACAGTTATAGGTACGCAATATTGGAGAAATATGACAGCGTAATTAATAGACTGGTGTACGGAAAACAAAATCGATTTATGAAGGTACCGCGGGCCGGAACGCAATGTTAGTTGCTGTTACCAGACGCGAGTCGGACGTCAAATGGTTGCGGGCCGGATCCGGCCCGCGGGCGGTAGGTTGCCGACCCCTGGCTTATATAGATCACCATCGATCTGGAATGGTCATCTTTTGCCACCTGAGTAGGAAGTGGGTACGTTCCTGGTCATGCATGGCCTTACCTACGGCAGGTAGGCTCTCAACGTTTCGGTATGCTTTGTACCGCCAGCGCGTCCGGGTCACTTGAAACAATGCACTTTATTGCACGGCTCGAGCCATCCTGTTAGCAATCGAGCACATCACACCTTAAGAAAGCATGTTCAGTTACATAACAATCCTTTTCAGCCATCGGCAGGCTGTATCTTTCATAAAAATCCGCTTCAAAAGTTCCCCACTTAACATAGACCGTCTACAGGGGCCGGGAACTTCTGACCACTTGCAGGTGGCGCCACTGCGCCCCCATACGGGAACGATTGCGGCGCGGGAGTTGGCCGTCTAGGTTACTATAGAGGTCAATGCATGAACCTGCCAGGCATTTGATGCGCATTTGCTTCAATTAGGGTACAGATCTGCTTTTGTATGGGGCCGTACCCAAATCTGCTATATTTGGGTACGATGACGTCACATGCGTACCCATTTTTAGCAGATTTCTGCTAAAAATAGCAGACTGCTAAAAATAGCAGATTTTACCATAGTTTCCCCGACTGAAACAGATGACAGTCAGTTTCACCTTGAGAAGATCACGGAAGTATGGACTGCACGCAGACAGCATCATTCTGTGTGCCTTGACCTTCTTCCCCTCACAGCAGAGTGTGATGTCAACCAGTTCTCCATCTTTTCTGAGATCCTCAAACACTGAGGTTACACTGTTTCTGAAGTCGTTCCATTTTAGGCAAAACCTCTGACCGTCACCAGCCATCTTGACCTGAAAAATAAGAACACATTATAGATTCCAGAATCGACAGCTTAGAAAAATCAACTGTTAGAGCTTACAGTCATGTTAAAGGAAAGTCAGGAAGCGATTTATTCCAAAATTTGAAATTGGTTTACACTTCAATCAATCATTGGAATCGGGGGGTCGCCGGTCGGCTGTTCCCGGACCCCGGTTCAATGAGTCATAGCCGAAATGCAGAAAAGATAAATATAAGACTTACGCGCAATACCAGCTCAATCAACAGGCCAAACGTACAAAAACAAATACACTTTAAGTTCGATTTTCGAAACGCGTCAGTCACAACGGTCTTCAACAACAATCACAATTCAAACGCAACATGGCGGACGACGCCCGTCTTTTCGATCGGCAGACCACTTTGCGCACAATTTCCAAAAAGTCGCTACTAACCGCTCAAAACTGGGGAAATATTAAATATTGGGATACTTTCATTTTGATTTGGCAGCAATGCTTCTTAGACGAAAAAGACAAAAGCGCCAAGCAGACGATTCTTTGCGTGTGTATTGTTTACACAGAATTATAACCAAATTTAGCACGCATATGCAAGGCCGCATATAGGCTAAAATTGGCTAGATTTAATGACGGTCATGCATTAATTTGATGTTAAATCACATATATAATTTATGTATATAAGCATACTGCCTGCATAATAAAAAGGTGAGGACTGTTAGCTCTTCACCCATCAGTCAGATTGAGATGTCCCCTCCCACCCAACTGAGGGCTGTTCACGGACCCTGTGTGCGGTCGGACCGCACACAGCCTCCAAGCTCCGCCCACTGCGTCCCTACGTCAGCCTTGCGTCACCGCACACAGCGACCGCTGTGGCCGGTCGGGACTGGCCACAGCGGACCGTCCACCGCACGCAGCCGTGACGTCAGAGCCGCCTACCCATCCCCTACCCCCACGCCTGCTGGACGTACCGCACACACCGCACGCAGCAGTGTGCGGTGCCCGTGAACACCCCTCTGGATTAAACTGCTGCGGCTGGTCCCGGCCCCGCTGGGCGCTGACTGCTTCAACCGGGTTCAACTGCTGCAGCTCAGTCCACTGACTGCTTAAAGTCTTAATCTGGCACTAGTGAGTTTTAGACCCAGGCCAGGCTTTTGCCACCACAAGTCTGGAGCTCTAGCAACTGAGTTATGGGATAGACAAGACCAAGGTATTTCATTGATTGGTTTTCCTTTTTTAGTTGCACTTCTAGGTACAATTTGACTGGACATTATAAAAGCTCCCACATTTGTATCCTTTTTGCAGCATTGGCCATGATGAAGCTGCTGGCAGCATTGCTGTGGCTGGCAGCAGCTGTTCAGTGTGAGGAGCTGCAAGAATCCCTAGACCACACCACTGTGCTTGCCAAGCATGGAGAAGTATTCAGCATCATACTGAACTCCAGTCTTCTCTCTGGGGCTGCTGATAACCGTGAGTCCTCCTTCTGAGTGGCACGGCCACATGACTGCACTCTCCAGCTCCTAATTCCTGGGTTCAGCAGCCTTGGGATCAACCTACCTAAATATACATCATTACTTCGTGATTCACACTTCAATACCCCATCACATTGTTGTGTCATCATGAGATTCAATGAAGGATTTCATCAGGAGCAGAACACTATGAGTGCCAGCTAGTAAGCATCCTGTAGTGTTACATTGTTTCTAAGCTTCTAGGTATGACCAATTTTACGTATGCAAGTGTGTGGCTAGTGTTTTCTCGGCACACCACTGGCCCTGGTGGCTGCCCGTCCCCTCAGGCTCTTGCTGACTCCACCAGCCCCCTCGGCTCTCACCGTTTTTCCTCACCCAGGCGCGAACGACACGCTGCGGTTCTCGCCGAGTCTGCTCGGCGCGCCCGACCTGCCCGACTGGCTGGCGTACGGTTACAGCGAGCAGCTGCGCTGCGGCGTGGTGTACGGAGTGCCGCCAGCGCACCTGGACGAGTTCAGGGTCAGTGACCCCGTGACCCGTCCGGCGGTCGTTCCGTGAACTGGGAAGGTGGATTGAGATTAATCCATTGCTCGCTCTGTAGCACCTTATCCTTCGTTCTTGGTTAACATCAGCTAACTTAAAAACCGATGCCACGTGTTATGTTATTACCACCGATTGCATTACATTCACACTCGTCTGTCTCCGTTTCAGTTGGAGATTATCGTGACAAATCTCCGCACGTACCAGACCTCGCGGCGGGAGGTGCACGTGCTGGTGTCAGACAGCGCCGGTACGTGGCGCCACGGGGTCGGTATGGGCACGGGCCACGGGGTGAATGATAATACTCAGAGGGACACTCGGGGTACTTGAGGTCACTCATTGACACTCAGAGCGCTCAAAGTGCTCTGAGTATACCTCGCTGTTCGCTGGTGACAACGCTTGGATTGATTTGCATGGTTTCATCGATCTCGGGTGATTTGTGTAGCCAGTGTGCTGTTTAAGGTCGCAATAATCTTCAGCTCATGAATCTGATGTGTTAAGTAATTAGCTGCCGTGAATGACCACGTTCTGGTGGTCCGCAGAGTCGCTGCGGCACGAGGTGCAGCTGAAAATCAACAACATGGACCCGGTGGACCTACTGTTTGACTCGAGCGGCGGATCCTCGAGCCGCAAACAACCGAGAAACGCATCCAACATTGAGAAACTACAGGAGATATTTCAACAGGTACGGTACGAACAGTCGCTAGCATAATATGCATATGTGCAAACGTGCGCCATATGAGTGGATGTTATCCGACATGACTTGGTGTGATATGATGTCCTGAGTTGACCTGGCCTGCCCTGACCAGGAGGCTCTCTCAGTCGGTGGTCTGTGACCTGACCTCCCTGACCTTCAGGTGCTGTGGCCGGCGGCCGGCGCCGACGTGCGTCTGACCTGGCTCTCGGTGGCTGACCCGGGTCCAGTGGTTCCCCGTCCGGGCGCCCACCTGGGTACACTGCTGCGACTGGCCAGCGGTGCGCCCTTCTCCCCCCAGCTGCGGTTCCTGCAGCAGGAGGTGCGCCCGCTCTGGGCTCGCGTGCCCTGCCCCAGAAATTTCAAACGCAGCAAGTTTGAGAGGCACTTCCGCGAGCGGGATTTTAAGATGGACTGGTGCCAGTTTAAGTTGGTAAGTGCGCTAGGGGGCTGTGTGATATGCCTATTTGACCCCTATGCCCAATTTCTCTCCTCCGTGGACAGGTGGTTTTAACCGAAGGATATGGACAGATATTTTGATTTTTCTTCACCAAAATAACATTAATTGACCCGGCTTTGAACCAGGCATTGATCGAAAAATTTACTTTCCCGTCAGATGATGTAATTAACGTCTTGCATTAATTTCTTTCTACCCAGGCAGCTACTACCGCTCTAACGCCGCATCTATTCCACAAACTCTGTCTGCATCTTTGTCACCGCCCCCTTCCTCTCCCTCCCCCTCAGTTTGAGAGCGGCGAGCTGGCGCTGCCGGTGGACGAGCCGGCCCCGACCGCCGCGCCGCCGCCTCCCCCGCCCTCTCTGGCCGACGTGCTGCCTCTGCCGGCGCGCGTGGCGGTGCCGGCGCGCAGCTACGTGTCCGACTTCCTGACCACCATCGGCATCCCGCTGCTGGTGGCGCTGCTTCTCTGCGCCACACTGACGTGCATCATGTGCTGCCAGGGAGAGCACCTGTGAGTCGAGCGGGAGGGAGGGGAGGGGAGGAAGGGCACTGGTCCGGGGTATGTATTAGGGTCGATAAAGGTGTACTTGATAGGGATTAGGGGAGCCAAATAAGACTTGGGAAGGGGTCAGATGTGGGCCATGGGGTGACCGGAGCGTAGAATGCAGTAGATTCATACCACGCTGAAATGTTGTCTCTGCTCTCTGCGCCAATAATGTGAGAGGTATTGCCCATTTAGATCATCGCTTATTTTCTGTGACACAACCGAACTTCGAACGCCATTGAAATGCTAACCGTTGACCCGATTTCAGTGAGACGGACAGTGACGGCGAGTTTTTTGATAACGTGTTCTCGGTGTTTGTGAGGTGAGACAGCCAGTCCCCCCGCCGTGTGTTCATAACAGCGTGTCAGAGCGAACCTGAGCTCTGTGGAGTCTATTGTAGAGTCTCAATACTGTGTGGTGTGGAGTGTGCTGACCTCTAGGTTATTTGCAGTGCTGCCACCGCAAGGACTCCTGGGCCCTGGCACGTATTTTTTTACCGACTAACCAATTTAGTGTGCATGACTGACATACCCTAGTGTGTGTCTTACCATGTGTGTTCGTGCTTTTTGCGCTTTTTTAATAACAACTGAATAATGCCCGAGTAACGAACACATGACAAACTACTAACGAGTATCTAGAAATAACTTGATTGTGTCTGCCCAGTCTTCCAAAGGCCCATCTTTATCCTCTTTGCGGACTGCATTCGACACCATATTGTCCCGCTGTTTGCGAAATAAAACCGTTTTTAAGGAATTCATAATTGGAGTCGTGATGTCTAACCGACAACTTTTTAGCTCTTCAAAAACCATCACCGTTTGAGTAACTGCGGTCTGTTAGATGTCCCTCCTCCCAACAATCAGACGTCGGCTTTCCAATATGAGGCCTCTCCCTGCGACCAGCGGTCTCCCCTCGCCCCTAATTCTCCCCCCTCTCCCCGCCAGACGCCGTCCCGCCGAGATTCAGATGGTGCAGTACCCGGGCGGCTCGAGCTCTCTGCCGCGCGGCGTCTCTCTGCCTCGCTCCCAGACGAGCACGCTGCGCCGCGCCGCCCTGAGAGACGTCTCCCCGCGGCTGGCCGAGCAGAGCGAGTACGAGCCGTCCTCCCGGCGCGAGGCCAGTCTGCTGAGGGACGTGTCCCCGCGCCTGACTCCGTACAGGGAGCCGCTGTCACCGGAGGACAGTGTGCCGGCTACACCGGATAGTGAGCGGCACGCGCAGCGACAGCCGCCGCCCTACCGCAGTCTCAGGTATCATCATCGAAATCAATTTCAGTACTTTTCACTTTGTTTCACACTGGGTGGTTGTGGGGCTGGCTACTACATCTCATTATACTGGGCTGTGTTTACCGTAAATCCAATTGTTACCGTTACCGTTAAAAAGGTGCTGAATTATAATTTGGTATCACAATTCTTTCTTTCTCCTGAGCGACTCTGTGTTATGTGGCGCGGTCTTTGAAGGCGTACCATGTAACGCTCGGTAACGCTCAGCGTTCTCTCGTCCGCAGCCGCCGCTCCTGAGATTCGGTGGCGGGGGAGGATTCAGATCAGTCAGCCGTGTGGCTGATCTGAGACCGACCCCGCCCAACTCAGACCAAGGACGTGTCCACGTCACGTCGCTATGTCACGTCAGCGCACGCCGCCACGTCAGAACGTCAGGTGGGCGTCCGATTCGGACTGACCCACCGCGGGGATCCCAGTTAAAGATGGAGTGTGAGTGGCTGGTGGGCGCAGTCGAGCGAT